CCAATGCTTAGCCTGTGTCATACCAATGGGATATAAGCTAATAGAGACCAAGAACACTGCCTTCATTGCTTATTACTATGCACTTTATTTTATTATTTACTGAAAGTTATGCCAAGCATATTACAGTTACTTGAAAAATCTCTGTAGCATTAAAAATGGAATTACTAATTAAATTAATATGTGTGATGCTTAATGACACATTGAACTTTAAAATAATTATCAATAAACTTATAAGCCAATCTCAAGTAAATAACTAGAAATTTATATCAGTGCATTTTCATTCATATAACCTTCTTTCCCTCACAGTGATGCTTGATTAAACTTCTGAGAGGCTGCTTCCAACATTTAAATGGCTAGATAGTGACCATATTTAAATTTTCACTCCCTTTCTAGAAGATCTGAAAGATAGTAGAAACCAGACAACAAAGAGCATACTAAAAGTTGGACCACAGTTAACAAATGAATGAACTCTTCAGCAGGTATTAGCTTGCTTGCAACAATAGTTTATAGATTTAATAAGCAAAGCTTGATGAGCTAAAGCATTTTGCCTAATATTATATTATTTCCAAATGAAGATCTAAACATGAGAATAATTTACTTGATTTATTTTCTTATGAATTACTATCCTAGAACCAACTGAATGTTTTAATTTTATTTCCTTAAAATACTTTTGACTCTGCCACTTTTATTTTAAAATATTTTACTCAATAGAAGAAAATATCCACTTTCACATTTTTTCACTTTGAGACGTTCCACTTAAAATGCAAATTCTATTCAATTATACTTATAAATACATCTACATATTTTAGGAAATTATTAGTAAATGGCTTTATCTCACACAAGCCCCCAAATATGAAAGTGAAAAAAAATGAAAACTAATCTTGTAATCTCCCAGAACGACCACCAACCGGGAGCTCTTTGGCACTACTGTTGCAACATGGGAAGATGCCATTGTTGACAACATTGATGAGGGATACGATCGACTGGTTCAGAACCTCCATGATTGTGCGGGGAACGCCAAGAGAGAAATAGCCACAAAAAAACTGTCTTCGAAAACTCTTGAGCTTATTCACCAAAGTGGCGTGGTGCATGCCTCAGGCAACCACAAGCAAACATTCAAGCTCGCAAAGCACTGCAGAAAAGCTATAAAGGAAGACCTCAAAGAGAGAAGAGCAGCAGTGCTGGTAGATGCTGCAGAAGCCGGGAAAAGGATTTATAACACCCGCCTGTCCTTCGCCAACTACAAGACCAAGATGACTGCCCTCCGACGTCCTGATGGATCTCTCACATCTTCCAGAAGAGCAATGGAGAAGATTATCCATGACTTCTACTCAGATCTCTTTGATAGCCACGTCTACCTGCCCACATACCAAATTCCGCAGGATGGATATGGCATTCCCAAGGTTCTCCCTTCCGAAATCTGACATGCCATTTTGTCGGTAAAGAAACAAACAGCACCTGCCCCAGACAACGTAAGATCTGAACACCTGAAGAACCTGCCATCAGTACTCATCAATATACTGGCTTGGCTCTTCACACGCTACCTGTCTGAATGCAAGGTTCCATCCCAGTAGAAAATGATCAGGGCTGTACTACTGTACAAGAAGGGAGACACCCACGACATTGGCAACTATCGCCCTATCTGCCTATTGTCTGTCATCTACAAGCTGTTCACTCAAGTCATCCTGAATAGGATTGGCAGAACACTAGATGAAGGACAACCATGTGAGCAAGCTGGGTTCCAAAAAGGATTCAGAACGACTGACCATATCCACACGATAACCAAGCTCATTGAGGTTTCTCAAGAGTTCAAGATGCCATTTTGTCTAATGTTCATTGATTTAAAGAAGGTCTTTGATTCTGTTGAGACGGAAGTGGTCACTGAAGCTCTAGCCAATCAGAGCATTCAAACTTAATACATCAGGATCCTCTGTGAGCTGTATTATGGATTCACTACCAGGATATCACCATTCTACAAAGAAGTGATCATCGATGTCAAGAGAGGGGATTGGCAGGGTGATACCATTTCACCAAAACTCTTCAGTGCCACCCTCAAGAATGTCATTTGACGACTGGAATGGGAAGGAATGGGAATAAAAATAGATGGTCGGCAACTACACCACCTTTGCTTTGCTGATGATATCATTCTAATAACACCAAACATTAGCCAAGTGGCACAAATGCTGGCCAACTTCAACGATGAGTGTGGAAAGGTCGGACTACAGCTGAATCTCATGAAGACAATGTTTATGAAAAACAGTCTCATTCCTGACGTTCCATTTGCTCTCAACAGAATGACAATCTCCGAATGCAACAGGTATGTGTACCTAGGTCGACTAGTCAATATGACAAATGACCTGGCACCTGAGGAGGAAGAGAGCAGCTTGGAACACCTTCAAGAGTGTTGAAGAAATAGCTAAGAGGATGAAGAACCTCCGGCTCTGGGTACATCTCTTTGATTCTACTGTTGTTCCTACATTAACATAAGCCTCAGAGACGTTGGGTTCTACAAAAACAGCATGAGAATGCTATTTGGGTCTCCCAAAGAGGAATTGAAAGAGCTATGCTTGGAGTAGCACGTTTTACTCAAATGAGAGAAAGAATCCAGAGCTCTGACCTCCACTGACAATCAAGAAACAGGGACGCTGTCTCATTTGCCAAGGCGTCGAAAATCAGATGGGCTGGATTCATAATGAGATTTGGAGACTACCACTGGACTAGAGCCATTACCAATTGGATTCCATGGGACGTCAAAAGACAGTGTGGCTGTCCACCTACAAGATGGTCAGACTTCTTCAAGACCCTGAACGATCGGTTTGAGGTTCTTCATGTTCCTAGAATGAACAGATGCCACTGGGCTACACTAGCACGCTACAGGGACGAATGGAGACATTACTGGCACCCGTTCAAGCAAATCGATGAGTAACGGGAAGTCAAGTGATCAAGTGAATCTTGTAAGCATATTAATTTGATGTAGCGATGAATTATACTTATCATATAAATATTATCTATAATAAATTAATAATTCTATTGATGGAAAACACATGATTAACTCTGAAAAAAATCATAGGATGCAAAAATAATAGGAGGCAAGAAAATTTTGAAAAATTCATTAGACAATAACATTGTCTTGAAAGACTGGAGTGATAGGACAGTAGGTAGGGTGATTGCCTAGCATGCAGCCAACCTGGGTTTTACCTGCAGCATTCCATATGGTCTCCTGAGCTCTGTCAGAACTGATTTCTAAATGCAGAGCCAGGAATAAGCCCTGAACACTTTGGAAAATAACAATGCTTTTATTAGTAAATTTAATGCTATTCATAATTTTAAACTTATTTTTTAATTTATTTTGCTCCAAAGTCTGTTGAGATGCTTTAAAGTCCTTATAAATAAAAAATATTTTATTCAGTTTGTGGCTGATTTTACTTGAAACTTCAAGGATAATTAAAACAAAATAAAGAAAGAACATGCTTCACTGATATAAAATATCACAAAAGTAAATCATTATTAAATTTATAACCTCACATATCTATTGATATTAAAATGATTTTAGCACACATCAAAATATATTAATATACATTAATTAATCATTAATCAATCAATCAATTAATTAATGATGTCATAGTACTGTAGCACTGTCCTCCCACTGTTCATCAATTTGCTCGAGCAGGTCTAGTAACATCTCCATTGTGCGACTTGTTGTTATTTTGTTTGGCATATTGAATACATCGTGTGTAGCTTGCCAGGCTTTGCTGTGCGGGCAAGATACTCTTGGTAGCTTGCTGGACTCTCTGAGAGGGGTGGAGGAATAGAACCTGGGTCTGTCGGGATGGCCGCATGCAAGGCAAACACCCTACCACTGTGTTATCGCTCCAGCCTAAATAATATCATATTTTGAAAGAATTTAAGTTTTGGCAATTTAAGATAGCTATCAAAGTTGATTATTAATTCAATCTTAGTAAAAGTTAAGAAGCACAGATAAAATAAAAGTAGTTATAAAATCTGTTGGGAAAGTAAAAACAAAAGGGGGGGTGAAGCTGTTACACTTGTGACTTTGAGAGAAAATTTGCTGTTATTGCAAAAGTCGCCTGGAGGATGTTTGTATCTTTTCCAGTAATAATGAGAAAGAATCCTATCCTGGGGTTAAATAATAAATTACCAAAGAATCTTCCATCAAAATAAAGGGTCTTTATAAATAAAAAAGGCCATCTTTACCCAAAAAACGCCAACATCAACAACCACAAATACCAAATGGTACATATTTTCATCTTGTAAATCCTTCACAGCATGTTAAGTGTTGGCATAATTACAACTTGGCTATTTATCTTTTTCCTTTGTTCTTGTCCTTAGGGTTTGAGTAGAATTTATAATAAATCTGGTCCTATGGCTTTATGTAGTTAAAAACTGTGAGTATTGATAAGAACAAAGAATTCTTTTTGAAGTATAAAAGAAGAGTTATGCTTTCTTTTAGAATTAGTGATAAAAGAAACAGTGCTGAAACAATGCAGTCCAGAATCTTTTAACTTTGCTCTTGATCATTTAGCTGCTTTGTTTTGTTCTGCTTTGGGGAATCCCAGGTAGTGCTCAAGTGGTCTAGAGGCCACATATGGTAACACGTGGCTCATTGCTGCTTGGGTGTGCGGTGTTGGGGTTTCCAAGGACACACCCCAGAAGAGTTGGGGTGAACCAGGTGTTGCCAGGTATTGACCCCCAAGGCCTCCACACATGTCAAACAGGTTCTCCTGCCCTTCCAGAGATACCTGGACCTTGTGCCATTTAGCTTTAAGTTGGTTTTGATCTGAAATTCATTTGCTCGGCACATTTCCAAATATTTTTGGTTAGTTGTATTGTTTCCTAGAAGAAAACCAGTGTTACTGCCAAAACAAGGTTATACAGCTCTGTGTAAAATTCCTAATCAAGTAATTCTCAATCAGAAAAACATGGCAGTCCCGGTGAGTGTTTTCTCTGAATAATTTTTAGAACAATGCCTAGTATTTTACCTTCTTTACACGAAGAGGGGCATGGTGTCCAGTCACTATATGGAGTCACAACACAGTCTTTCCTACAAGGAAGGAGACAGGGTCTCACTGTTTCAGGCCGGAGGCTCTCAGGACATCTAGAAAAATTCAGATAAAATTCATAGACCTTGATAAGCACCCAGAAAACAAGATATTTTCAATTTTCAGAATTTTTATTGCAGATATATCTAAGTAGTCATCAATTTTTATTAGTCACCCTCTAGAATTTTTTTTTTTGTTACCTTTGGACACTAAGTATGAAACTAAGTTAAACATTTCTTTCTTTCATTATTTTTTTTTGGCTTTTTGGGTCACACCCAGTGATGCTCAGGAGTTACTCCTGGCTCTGCACTCAGGAATCACTCCTCACGGTGATGGAGGACCATATGGGATACCGGGGATTGAATCCAGGTTGGTCGTGTGCAAGGCAAACATCCTACCCACTGTACTATCCCTCCGCCCCTAAGTTAAACATTTCTAACCAAATCTCAATTAAGCATCTTTAACAAGATGAATTAATTCAAAGGTAACAATAATAGTGCTATCTACAGAAGCATGCAATGATTATAGAATAATCTCTCCATTAAGTATATGTTGTCTGATACAACTTATAAGACATTTATGAAAATCCAGTTTGACAAAGACAGAACTCAATTCTATATCTCTGTAAAACAGACTTATTGATGATTACATAATTCATACTCTAATTGTTTGGAAAAATATTGCACATAGTGACAGGAAATATATAATGCAGTATATACTATATACTGCACATGTAAAAGAATTCACAACTATTTTATAATATATAAGAAATAAAAATTCTAAAACATATCACTTCACTTAATCACTTAATCCCCGTTATTCATCGATTTATTCAAGCGGGTGCCAGTAACGTCTCCATTCATCCCGGTTGCGTGCTAGCGTAGCCCAATGGTATCTGTTTGTTTTAGGAACATGTAGAGCCTCAAACCGATCATTTAGGGTCTTGACGAAGAAGTCTGACCATCTTATAGGTGGGCGTCCACGTGATCTTTTGATGTCTCGTGGAATCCAATCAGTAATGGCTCTAGTCCAGCGGTTGTCTGTAAACCTCATTACATGTCCAGCCCATCTGATTTTTGATGTCTTGGCAAATGAGACAGCGTCTCTGATTCTTGAGCGTTGACGAAGATCAGAACTCCGGATTCTATCTCTCATTTGAGTGAATCGTGATATTCCAAGCATAGTTCTTTCGATTCCTCTTTGAGAGACCCGAATAGTGTTCTCATCCTGTTTTCGTAGGGTCCAGGTCTCTGAGGCATATGTTAATGCAGGAAGAATAGTGGAATCAAAGAGATGTGCTCGTAGTTGGAGGTTCTTTGTCCTTTTAGTTATTTCTTCAATGCTCTTGAAGGCATTCCAAGCCGCTCTCTTCCTCCTGCGTAACTCAGGTGCCAGGTCATTCATCATGTTGATTTCTCGACCTAAGTATATATAACTGTTGCATTCGGAGATGGTGGTTCCGTTGAGAGCGAATGGAGCGTCAGGAACAAGGCTGTTTCTCATAAACATTGTCTTCGTAAGATTCAGCTGTAGTCCAACCTTTCCACACTCACGGTCAAAGTCCGCAAGCATTTGTGCCGCTTGGTTGATGTTTGGTGTTATTAGAACGATGTCATCAGCAAAGCAGAGGTGGTGTAGTTGCCGACCATCTATCTTCACTCCCATGTTTTCCCATTCTAGTCGTCGCATGATGTTCTCGAGGGTGGCACTGAAGAGTTTTGGTGAAATGGTATCACCCTGCCGAACCCCTCTCTTGATATGGATGATTACTTCTTTGTAGAATGGCGAGATCTTGGTAGTGAATCCGCAATAGAGCTCACGAAGGATCCTGATGTATTGAGTTTGTACGCCCTGATTGGCTAGGGCTTCCATGACCGCTTCCGTCTCAACAGAATCAAAGGCCTTCTTTAAATCAATGAACGTTAGACAGAGCGGCATCTTGAACTCCCGAGATACCTCAATGAGCTTGGTTATTGTGTGGATATGGTCGATGGTACTGAATCCTTTTCGGAATCCAGCTTGTTCACATGGTTGTCCTTCATCTAGTGTTCTGCTAATCCTATTCAGGATGACTCGAGTGAATAGTTTGTAGATGACAGACAATAGGCAGATTGGGCGATAGTTGCCAATGTCGTGGATGTCTCCTTTCTTGTATAGTAGTACAGTCTTGCTGGTTTTCCATTGGGATGGAACCTTGCATTCAGACAGGTAGCGTGTGAAGAGTCGAGCTAATGTATTGATGAGTACTGATGGTAAGTTCTTCAGGTGTTCAGGTCTGATCTTGTCTGGGCCAGGTGCTTTTTGTTTCTTTACCGACGAGATGGCATGTTGGATTTCGGAAGGGAGAACATTGGGAACGACATATCCATCATGTGGTATGTGGTATGTGGGCAAGTGGATGTGGCTATTAAAGAGATCTGAGTAGAATTCATGAATAATCTTCTCCATTGCCCTTCTGGAAGATGTGATAGATCCATCATGATGTCGGAGGGCAGTCATCTTGGTTTTGTAGTTGGTGAAGGACAGGCGGGCATTACGAATGTTTTTCCCAGCTTCTGCTGCATCTACCAGTACTGCTGCTCTCCTGTTTTTGAGGTCATCCTTGATGGCTTTTCTGCACTGTTTTGCCAGTTCGGACGTTTGCTTGTGGTTGCCTGAGGCACGTGCCACGCCACGTTGGCGAATAAGTTCAAGAGTGTTTTCTAAGAAAGACGGTTTTTTGTGGTTATCTCTCTCTTGGCATTCCTTGCACAATCATGGAGGTGCTGAATCATTCGATCGTATTCCTCATCAATGTTGTCAATGACGGCATCTTCCCATGTTGCTGCAACAGAGCCAAAGAGTTCCCAGTTGGTGGTTGTTCTGGGAGTCTTCTTCTTAAACCTTGCATTCTTTTCTCCTCGTTCTGTGAGGTAGAATTTTGCACGAAGAAGACGGTGGTCTGATCCCGTTTGGAATTTTGGGACAACAGCAACATCGGTTAGGCAAAACCGCCGATTGAATATGATGTGGTCTATTTCATTGTGGAACCGTCCATCGGGAGACTCCCATGTCCAACGTTTAGATTCAGCCTTTTGGAATTGTGAGTTACCATGGAAGGTTTTGGTTGACATGATGAACTCAGACAGTCTGTCACCTTGTTCGTTCCATTCCAGGCCATGGGTTCCGATGTGGAGTTCATCGACTGATCTTCTTGGTCCTATCTTGGCATTAAAATCACCGACAATGATCTTGTAGAAGGTGTGATCTTCTTTATAGATAAAACATATAAAGTATTTTAATAAGAAGTTTGCTTTTCTTCTGATTTGATTTTAGTTCTAATTTTTATCTTCCATTTTATCCTGAATAACAAATGGGATTTAAACCTTTTTGTTACAATATTGTTTGAAACAAAAAATTAATATGAATTGAATAAATGTTAATCAGCAATTGCAAAAGAAAAATCCACTATTGTACTAAAATAAAATGTAGCAAATTCATTTGCCATTTTTTTTCATGGTTCTTAGGGTCAAACCCAGGACCACATACAGATAGGTAAGCCCTCTACAACTGAGCTATATTCCTGACCAATGATTTTTTTTTTGCTTTTGGGTCACACCTGGCGATGCACAGGGGTTACTCCTGGCTCTGCACTCAGGAGTTACTCCTGGCAGTGCTCAGGGGACCATATGGGATGCTGGGAATCGAATTCAGGTCGGCCGCGTGCAAGGCAAACTCCCTACCTGCTGTGCTATCTCTCCAGACGCACCAATAATTATTTTTAATACATCAAAATATATTATATTAGGTATACAAGATACTGTATAATGAGAATACCTTAAGCTATCTTATTTTTGTAATATTGTCACTTCTTGAAAGATAATTTGAAGTAGCTGATAAATGAGATTTAAAAAATCCATCTGGGGCTGGAGAAGCTAGTATAGTGGGTAAGGTGTTTCACTTACATGTGACTGAACTGGGTTTGAAATCTGGTTTCCCCTATAGTCTCAGGAGGGTTCCTTGAGCGCAAAGTTAGGAGTAATCCCTGAGATCTGCTGAATGTGGTCCCCAAACCAAAATAAATAAACAAGAAACAAGAAATCCACCTTGCGTATATGTCTCTCAAATGTCTCTATTCTTTACATTTTCATGACATGATTGTACTATTGTAATTATCAAATGTTAACCATGGATACTCACATTGAAAGAGGATAAATACTAGGACAAATAATATATAATAATATTAAGATTCCTAAGAAATTCTCTACTGAGGTCATATAAGTCTCTGACAAGTAAGCTAAAATGCAACAATATATTTAAGCAAAGAACCAGTATAATTGGTGGGATAAGATGGAAAATTTATGAAAATCGGATTTAAAAAAAATAATCCAATGGGGTGGGAGCGAAACCAAAGCCTGGCTTGGAGCAGCAGCGGTGCAGTGGACGCCTGGGGTGAAGTTTTTTGTCTGGCCAGTGTTGCTACCACCAGCCTATGAGTATGGGGAATATCTTTGCCAACCTCTTCAACGGCCTTTCTGGCAAGAAAGAAATGCGCAGTCTCATGGTGGACCTGGATGCTGCAGGGAAGACTACCATCCTGTATAAGCTGAAGCTGGGTGAAATTGTGACCACCATTGCTACTAGAGGCTTCAATGTGGAAACTGTGGAGTACAAGAACATCAGCTTCACCGTGTAAGACGTGGGTGGCGAGGACAAGATCCAGCCTCTGTGGCGCCACTCCTTTCAGAACACACAAGGTCTGATCTTTGTGGTTGACAGTAATGACAGAGAGCGTGTGAACAAGGCCTGTGAAGAGCTCATGAGAATATTGGCTGAAGATGAGCTCAGGGATTCAGTCCTGCTCTTGTTTGCTAACAACCAGGACCTCCCCAATGCCATGAATGTGGCTGAGATCACGGACAAGCTGGGCCTGCACTCCCTGCACCACAGGAACTGGTACATTCAGGCCTCCTGTGCCACCAGTGGGGATGGGCTCTATGAGGGACTGGACTGGCTGTCCAATCAGCTCCGGAACGAGAAGTGAGGCAGCACTCCTCTCCCTTCACCCCCTCTCCGCCTTCACTCTTCTCTCATGTGGAAACCTGTGTCCTGTGGTGTGAGTGCCAAAAACTCTCCATGGTTGGTCACAGTGTGCTTCACCATGCTATAAATGTGCAGACGCAGTCTGAAACTAGGTTTTTATTTAATGTAAATAGTTTTTGTTTCCAATGAGGCAGTTTATGGTACTCCTATACAATATTACTCAGCTTTTTTAATTGTAAAAGGAGAATCAACACACTGTTAGTACTGAGAAGGGATTTTAGGCACGTGTGGCCTCCAGGAGTTCCTGTGTCTGACAGGTTCGGCGTACTTCTTTTGGGCTTCAAATCTGTGTTAGGATCCATTTTGAGGTTGGTTTTTAACCCAAACTCAGTGCATTTTTTAAAAAATAAAATTAAAATACAAGATAAGGAGAACAAGTGAACACAGAAAGGAGAAATATGCCTAGTGTAGATTCTGCAGTAAAGGCCTGACTAAGTGTGGTCCTGTTTCCTGTCGGGAACATGAGATGATCCATTCTGCATGGTCACAATAGGGTCCCTGTGTTTTACTGTTGGATCATCCCATGTCCATAGCATTTGTGCTTGTATTCGTGCTTAAATGGGGGCCTGCGGCCAGCTGCTCTTGGACCTCTCGCAGGGACCCGGGATTTCCTTTTGGTCAGCGTGGCTGGAAAGCCCCTGTCATGTTCACTCTGGGCTGGCTGGGTCTCATCAGCAGGAGTGTGTGCAGGCAGGCAGGATTGGTCACCCTGAAGCCACACCCCTTGGAGCACCCGCTACACGTGCTTTCCCTCCCTCAGCCTGCCAGGGTCAGATTTGCCATCAAAAACAACGACCTCTACTATTTTCTTTTGTATTTTGATAAACACTAAAGAAGCTGGAGCTGTTAAACTTTATTTTGGGGAAATCTCAGAAATGGTTCATTTGGTGTTGTGGCACCTCTTACTGTTTTCAAGACACAATTAGTAATAAAAAAATCCTATGGGGAAAGCTATTTTTTTATGTTGGTGCATGTGTAGGTGAAAATAAAATGCCTTATGGGGGCCAGAGCACAGTGGGTATGGTATGCTCCTAGTATGCTCCTGTTCTGGGTTTAATATCTTGCACCACATATGGTCCCATGAACCCTGCCAGCAATGATGCCTGAGTACAAAGCCAGGAGTAAACCCTGAGCTTAGCTGAGTATGACCTAGGACAAAACAAAACAAAAGACAAAATGCCTTTTACAAATTAATCAGATTTTTAGAACTGGACTATGAATTAGAACATCAAGATATTTACTCTTCTTTCCATAAATTCTTTATAAGCACTTAATGAGTTATTTAAAATGAATAACTATATATAATTTAGCTATTCATTAATTATCCCACACTTCCCCTTCTTAAAATTTGTTTATGAACCATACTTGTGGTATTCAGAAGCTTGGTGCTCTGGGAGGTCACTGCTAAAGATGTTTTGGGACCTTGAACTGTACTGGGGATCAAAGAAACTAACAGTGTTAGAGCTGATACTATAAATGATAAAAATTACAAACCTAACCTGCATTCTTTTCTGTTTGTTTGTTTGGGAGGCACGCCCAGCGGAACTCAAGACTTACTCCTGGCTATGTGTTCAGGGATCATTCCTGGCAGAGATTAGGGGACCACATAGGATACCAGAATTGAACCAATGTGGGCCATGTGCAAGGAAAATACCCTACCCATTGTACTATCATTCTGACCTAATCTTCATTCTTAACTAGGATATTTTACATGGTAAAGTTTATATTCACATATAATTTCATTCTTTTAGAACTATAGAATTGATAATTAGGCATTATTATTGAAGACCACTGCTTTTCAATGAGGCAGTTTTCTAACTTAAACAACTCTAAATTAACCAATATCTTGCTCTTCAAATTTTAGCTCTGAATAAATCAATGAAATTCCCAAAGTTATCACTGATAACCTAGCTTAGAAATATCCGCAGCATGATACTTGGCTGACTGTGGAGAGCAAAATTACTAGCAACAAAGCTGTTAAATGAACACATGAAGATAAATTATACAGCTTAGATTATATCCAATAAAATGAATTCAGACTTCCTTTGGAGACACAATTGGTTCAGTCAACATGTTTCTTTTCTCCTTTGTACTGTTTGTGTTTAGTATTTGTGGTTTAAATCAAGGAATCGATTTTTACCCAAATCTTATTCAAGGTCAAATTAAACAGATGTGATAAGAGTTGAAGTTTGTTACTTGGAGGATAGATAAGATCAATAACATTGATTTTACCATTGCACAGTAATCTGTTTTATTAAGAGGAGTTTAAAACAAGGTTTCTATTTGCATTTTATTTCAAATGCCTAGTACTGAAATGAATTCTCTTAATTTAACCTAGCACAGTTAAATTAACCTCTGAATTTAGGCTCAGGGACAGAAAAATTTATTCACTTTCGAATTCAGGAGTATTTAATTTTTCAGAATGTTAAGAGCAAAGCAAATTCATCTGATTTAACAAATCTATACTAATATATAGGTCACTGAATAAAGGCTGCAAAGGCAAAGCAAATTTTTAAATGGATTACTGTGGTGATCTAACTTGGGGCTTCAGGATATCCTTTCTACTGAAAAATTTAATGGCATCAATCCAGCAGGGTTTTTTTTTTTCACAAATAAGGCTTAGGTACACACACCCCCACTATTTAGCAAAGTATTTTATAGTTTTCTTTAGTGAGGAAAATATTAACAATATCTGATATGTAATGAACTATAAAACAGTAACAGGGTGAACATCTTAGAAACTCAGCATAAAACCCTCTAGTCTTGTGCCACAAAGGCTAGACAGGTTATAACCCCTTGTAGTAAATATTTGTATTTAACTTGTATCAATAAATCCCAAAATCCTTTAGGAGTTGGGACACCTACTGTTAGCACTATTGCATTTTATACACGGATTAATTCCATAATTCCGTGAGTTAGAGTCATCACAACCTATGTATTACTTCTTTGAAAATGTTGGTTCGGGGCTAACTATTAAGTATGTGAAATGGTTTCTCAATTAATTCAATCCTTTTAGGCATGCATTTTCTAATATGGTTCCTAATGCCAAACTACATAAGCAAATTAAGTATGTAGAAAATACCAGATGAATATAAATATATATTTATGTAAATATAAGTGTAGCTCAGTGAAACTATTATTTGTTGCTTATAGTTTTCCATCTATCAGGAACATTATTATTATTTCCCTGAAACACTAAGAAGAAACCCAAATTTTAAAGAGAAAATAATTTCAAGATTTGTTGATGCTTACATTGCTATTTCACAATTTTTTAAAAACTGACTTTGAAAACAGAATGAATAGTTAAGTAGATGCTTAAGATAACACTTAGTATTCAAATCCTTGGACATGTATTTGGAAATTCTGAGGTGATTTTTTTTAATAATGCAAAGGTGACTGATTTTATATTTTTTTTGTTTCATAAGACTAAGTGATTTAAATTTTAAAAGATTTATACAGTCTGAAACTCAAAGGATAAATTTCTTTTATTTAATCTCCTTAAAGGAATATATTATTAGCACTGATTTATTCATTTTTGCCAACACTTGATTAGCCCAGTTATGCCATATTTTGTTTTAACTTATATTTCTCAAAAAGCACACATAACACAGCATTTCTCTGCTTTTTTGGTATTCCCCTCTAGAAAACTGTTTGATTTTTTACTACATTACTTCTAACCTAACCTCAATGAGAAACTGATGCTTTTTCTATTTATTGTAACAGTCATCCTATCCCAAGGTTCTCTCTCGGAAGTAAATGGCTTACTCTCTTCACCACTGAAACATATAATTAGTTTGGCCTCAGTATTTTTGATACAGCATTTTCTAGTAGAAATAAAAGGCTGATCATAAAAGGCTACTACCCAATTAAACTAGATTGGCAGTCTCCAGAGCCTACGGGTATACAGACGGTCATGGATGACCTACACTTAGGACTTTGTGTACTGTCATTATTGATCAGCCAAGCCCAGAGCAAGCACTTCTCTCATGGCCTTATAGCTTAATAAAAACAGTGAGTGCTACTATAAAACTGAGAATAAGTCCTACGTAGAAAGAGTTTTATAGAATTTATGGATCCCAGCTATAAGTCCTTGAAGTTCTTACAACTTTATCAATCACTAAGGTTGAAAACATCTTACTCTTGAGGACAGGCATGACAAACATCAAAGTACCCCATTTTTATGAAGCCAGATCAAATCTCTTGCATGGTTGAATGAAAGTTTTTTTGTGGTCCAGCTAAAGCTCTTACTTTTTGGGTCCCACTTGGCCTACATTGACTCGCACACAGATGACTTTCCTTGTTTGCATGCCGACAGAACAAGAAGCTTCCCCATTCCAACTTGTAGTTGAGTTGAAGGACGAAACCGAGGTGTCCTCAATGCACTGGCCCCATGGACCAGTCTGCCAGTGGTACACAGTACAGGGATGATCATTGCAGCTGCGCACTTCTTGCAAAGCACTGCTATTTGGACAATGAACCCCACCTGCACAAATGGACAAGGTAACAAATTAGAAAGGGTTTCAGAAGGAATTCTTCCATTCTGTTACTCAGAAATGAATAAGGCTAACAATTATACCTACCACTCAGTTAGCATATAGCATTTAATAGCATGCTAGGGGAAAAAAAGCGTACAGATTAATTTTACTTCATTTAGCATGGTGTCAAGTTCTAGACCACGCTTCCTCGAAATGTGCCAAAGTGGTAAATGAATAATTAGAATTAAAGGAACAGTTAGTGCATGAATGATATTATAATTCTTTTTAGGACTAAGGCAGGGATTTAAAGCTGTAAAGGAAACCTCAGTGAAAGTTACTCTCCCTGCACAGAGACAGACATTTCCTCTCGTTAGATAGGAACAAACTGTGTCAACAATCTCTGCTTAGCTTACTAAAATAGCTAGTCAAATAAAAACTTTCAACAATTCACTTTTTTGTCTTCAAATTATGTTGCCTCTCTGTCTTAAAACCATATATACTGGCAATGTTTGTTATTCACCAGAGTCCATAGCTTATATTCCTCTGTGGAGAAGGCACTTGCTTCCCAGAACTCCATATGCTCCCATGAGTGTGCCAAGAGTTATCTCTGAGCACTATTGGGTATGGCCCCAAACCAAAAACCAGAAAATAAATAAAAAAGAATGTACACAGAATAAAATTGGTCTTTTCATGTCAGCTTATTATTGGATCAGCCAAAGAAATAAAAAGAGGGAAGGGGCAGATGCCCCTTAAAATTTTGGTATATTTTTCTAAAAAATTATAAACTAGGGGACTGGAGAGAAAGCTCAAGGGTCAGAACACCTGAATTGTAATCACAGGGACCCCAGTTTGATCCCCAGAAGCACACATTCCTTGAAACATACTGGGTATAATCCTGGAGTCTCTGTCATCTTCCAGCACCACTTAACACAAACAGTACCACTTCTTTGGGCCCTGCCATTGAACAGCCTGGACAGGTTGATAGAGTTTCGCTGGGGATGGCTCTTGGGGCCTCTAAGTACTGCTATATGGTATAGATTTATTTTGGGAGAATATGGAGAACTTCAAAGAAGGATATCATTATTCTCCAGATTGATTGAAAGTTACCTATAAATGATGCATATGTGATTGCTGAGTAGGAGAAAGATGGCATTGAGATTCTCGATAGGGAAAAATCCAGTGAATTTCAACCAATATTCCCCAAATTTGAAATCTTTAGTTTCAAAATTGAACTTATTTTAATGACTTTACAGTGATTAGAAATAGAGGCTTTAAAATTGAATGGTGCCATCTGCTCTTTCATACATGTACTGGAAAGAGCATGTACTAATCACAAACTCTGTATTTATTCAAATCTGTGTAAGAACAAAGAAAATAAAGTATTTATAAAGAGAAGAATGTGACTTATTGGGGCTGGAGTGAAGTACAGCGGGTAGGGCATTTGTCTTGCACATGGCCAACCAGGTTCAATTTCCAGCATGCCATATGGTCTCATGAGCACCACCGAGAGTAATTCCTGAGTGCAAAGCCAGGAGTAACCCCTTATGCATTGCATGATGTGACCCAAAAAGAAAGAAAAAAAAAGAATGTGAATTATTTTGTGACGTGAACAGAGATTAAGTGAAATGTTTATGAAAAGTGATTTTTGTCAGGTCTTCAAGCTCTTTTGCTTGTTTCTCTTTTTCTTTTTTTCTCTTAATTTTTTTTTTGCCTGTTTTTGTATCTACATAATATTATGGGCTGGAGTGGTTAGGGAGTTTGCCTTGCATGCGGCTGACCCTAGTTGGATTCCTCTGCTCCTCTCAGAGAACCCGGCAAGCTACCGAGAGTATCTTGCTCGCATGGCAAAGCCTGGCAAGCTACCCGTGACATATTCGATATGCCAAAAACAGTAACAAGTCTCACAATGGAGACGTTACTGGTGCCTGTTCAAGCAAATAGATGAACAATGGGAGGACACTGCTACAGTGCTACAATACTAAGATGTTACTAGGTCTGTGTTAGAGCATTAATTTACACATCCCAAGAAAGAGAAATGGACGCAAATTAAACTAGGATGTCATGCTTTTCATTTTTTTCTTTGTTTTTTAGGCCACACTCAGCGGTGTTCAGGGTATATTCTTAGCTCTACACTCAGGAATCTGATCCTTTGTGCACTGCCGGGTGATCCTTGAGCACAGACTCAGAAATAAATCCTGGGCACAGTTGGATGTGGCCCCCAAACAACAACAGCAAAAATTCTGTATTGAAGTAGCTTTGTATGATTCAAGTTTTTAGAGTCACTTCTATACTCATGCTCATCAAAGTTTCTATTCTTCAGCACAGTATCATATTCTGTCATGAAGAGTATCAGTGATGCAGGACTTCTTAAAAGAAATATTTCTCTATTTTCTCCAGCATTTTTAAGGATGCTGTATTTTTTTCAAAGAGCATACATTTTTAAAAGGTACATACATTATAAATATATTACAAATAAGTCTATGCTAGTGTATTTTAAGATTTACATACAATAGATAAATTCTATGAATGTAAATTTTATTAAGAGTGATGTTAGTTAAGGAAAAGATAAGGGGAGAATATGAATACTCTATCCAGCTAGAGTATCATTCAGACTCAAAGGAATGATATGGAGCTATAGGCAACAATTTATGGAATTCAGAGTTTTCAAACCAATCTTGCAAGAAGAGTTAAAGGAGTTTCTTTCTTTGGTACATCTACACAATGGAGTACTATGTAGCTGTTAGAAAAGATGAAGTCATGAAATTTACATACAAGTGGTACTACATGGAAAGTAAAATGAGTCAAAAAGAGAGGGACAGAAATAGAAAGACTGCATTCATCTGGGTAACATAAAGTAACAAAATAAGAGACTAACACCCAAGAATAGCTGAGATAGGTAACAGGAGGTTTACTCCATGGCTTGGAGGCCAGCGGCACATGCTAAGGGAAAAGGCAGCTCAGATAGAGAAGGGAGCACCAAATAAAGGGTGTTGGGAGGATCCTCCCAGGATGGGAGATGCATGATGAAAGTAGACTATAGACTGAATATGATTGTCACTCAATGCCTCTTTTGCAAACGTCAGCACCCAAAAGGAGAGAGAGAACAAAAGGAAATGCCCTGCCACAGAGGCAGGGTGGGATGGGGGTTGGGGGGTGGGAGGGATACTGGGATAAGTGGTGGTGGAGAATGAGCACTGGTGGAGGGACGGATACACGATCATTGTATAACTAAAACCCAAGCACAAAAATTTGTAAGTCTACAACTGTACCTTACAGTGTTTCACTAATAAAAATTTAAAAAAATAAAGGAGTTTCTTTAAAAAGGTAAGACAAACTCCTCAGCACCTGGTATTGAGTATGGCACTCACTCATGGTGCTTATGGATGCCCTCTATCTTCATAAGAACTAATTTTCATTTCATTTCATTTCATAATCCTGTTATTCGTCGATTGCCTCGAGCAGGCCCCAGTAACGTCTCTTTCATCCTAGCCCTGAGATTATATTCAAGGCTATTTAGGAGAATGAGACCCATCATTGTTACTGGTATTTGGCATATTTGGTATGCCACGGGGAGTTTGCCAGACTCTGCCCTGTGGGCAGGCTACATTCGATAGCCTGCAAGTTTGTCCAAAGTAGGAATAAGACAATAAGATGTCACAAAAAAAAAGTTCTGATAAGAACCGCGGCCGCGCGGTTCCAGGATCTGGATTTTATAGTCTCTGAGTCTTGGCCGCTGATGGGATTACACGGCGCCAGGGGGCCAGGTGGTGGGTGTGACCCCCGCCTACTGGAATTTGGAGGATCTAGGTGGAAGATGCTCGATTCCAATCCGAGTAGGCTTGGAGGTCTCGGCCCCGGAACCCGCGTGGCTTTGTCCCTCTGCCAGTACCTTCATGTGTGCGGAGAGTGGTCTCAGCATGGTGGTGGCTGGTCCTGGAGGTCTTCGGCTGCCGTAGCCCTGGTCGGGGCGGGGAGGAAAGCTCAACCCGCTCCCCTCCAAGGGACTCCGGGAAGGAACACCCAGGCGCGGGGGCAGAGACTGCACTGTTCTCGTCCGGGATCTGGATTTTATAGTCTCTGAGTCTTGGCCGCTGATGGGATTACACGGCGCCAGGGGGCCAGGTGGTGGGTGTGACCCCCGCCTACTGGAATTTGGAGGATCTGGGTGGAAGATGCTCGATTTATATTGGATGTTACATATCTGATCAGGTGGGCTTTTTTATATTTTTACATTCATAGAGCTAATAAATCTTTTTTTTCCATTTTGTTTTGTTCTGTTTGGGTGCCTACCTGGTGATGTTCAGGGATTACTCTGGATTTTCACTCAAGAGTCACTACTGGTGGTGGGAGCCATAAGGCATACCAGAGATTGAACCCAGGTCAACTGTGCACAAATCAAGAACCTTACCTGCTGTACTATTTCTCTGCCCCACTCCCCTAAGATTTTTATTACAATCCTTTACTTAGTAATGCAGAAAATCATACAGTAGCTATAACAAAATACTCTCTCTCACATAAAGCCAATATTCTCTTTCTTAGGAGCGATAGCATAGCGAGTAGGGCATTTGCCTTGCATGCGGCTGACCCAGGTTCAATTCCTCCGCTCCTCTCTGAGAGCCCGGCAAGATACCGAGAGTATCTCACCCGCACAGCAAAGCCTGGCAAGCTACCCGTGACGTATTTGATAAGCCCAACACAGTAAAAAGTGTCACAATGGAGACGTTATTGGACCCGCTCCAGCAAATCGATGAACAACAGGAGAACAGTGACAGTGACAGGATAAATCACATTTTGTGCTTTATAGGACTTGAGTTCCAAAATGGAGAATAAAAGTAAGTGGGGGTATAGATGGGGGCAATGAAGACTAGACGTTACATAAGGACAATAGTGGAGGGTTTGGGGCACATTAGTGTTGGTGGGGTATAGTAACTTTATACATTTAATATAAATGTTAATACTCTTGATAACCAAACTACAAAAAAGAGACAACCCTCTCTTCAGCAAAAAA